AATCTGTCTTGGAAGAAGTACAACCAGAATGCTCCTTAGAAGCCAGGATGGTGAGACTACGTCTCACATACTTTGGACATGTTATCAGTAGGAACCAGTCCCTGGAGAAGGACATCATGCCTGGTAAAGTAGGGGGTCAGCAAAAAAGAGGAAGACCCTCAACGAGATGGATTGACACAGTCGCTGCAACAATGGGCTCAAGCATGGCAACAATTGTGAGGACGGCGCAGGATTGGGCAGTGTTTCGTTCTGTTGTACACAGGGTAACTACACGTTATCACCTCAGGGTGATGATAAGGATTAAAACAGATGTACACATTGAGTCAGAACCGGCTCGACGACCCCTAACAACAACAACAACAACAACAACAACAACAACAACAACAACAACATTGGATACAGTCTGGTAAGCAATAATTAGGTACACTGCTCTCTATCCAGCTAAGGAATTAGATTGTTACTCAAGCTAGGCCAGGAAATGCTCCCATCCTGAAGTTTGAATCTTAAGTAAAGGAACAAGGAAAGATAGCAACTTCCTAATCAGATGGTTCTTAGTACAAGTAACTGCTTTCTACTCCCTGAAGGTTTTCTAGTCTTCCAGTCATTTTGTGTGCTTTTTGTGTTCTTTTAAGTTCATTTTTGCTTCTTACTCATAGCTGGTTTCTTCATCTTAACACCAAGGAACCTTAAAGCCAGAGAATGTAACTATTTTAATGTCTCATTGTAACAGGATACTTCGCTTGAATTGGAGTAACTAAATGTGCCACCACCCCTAAACCAATATTTTTATAAAATGAATTCAGGTTAAACCTGAATATCCAGAGTTACCTTGAAAATAAAAAAGAATTCACAAAAGGATACCTTGGTTATGATATAGGGTTGGGGAGGATGAAAGTTGAAAGGATAATCCAGGCTTTTAGCCTTCCTTACACTGTGGACTATATAGGCTATAACAACAGATAATTGAGCCCCAGCTCACCAGTTGCAGTGGCACCTTCTTCTCTGACCATTGCCTTTGGTTACTGAATATCTGGATTATCCTTTATTAGTAGTTCTCTGCCTCCTTTATTCAAATTTTTGAAGAAGCCTAGTCAGGCATGGATATGACAAAAAAAAAAAAGCTCTGGGAGGCATTTATGACAAAAGTGTAAGTGAAGTGTATGAATTAGCAGCTGCCTTGCTCTTGGCAGAAGTCACTTATGCACTCTAAGGGTTATGGTCAAAGCATAAGAAATCTAGTTATACTGTCCTTTCTTCAATTTTATCAAAACAATGAGTCTAGAAAGGCAGAGAAACCAGCAGCTCAGTTTTAGAGAAATTATAAATACCTTTAAGACTCATCAGTCGCATTGAAGTGGTATCAGAGACAGCTTTCCTGGCCACATGTCCCCAACACCACAGTCTAGGATCACATAACTATATTCCCCTTTTTCAGCATCCTGGAACTTAGGCTACATCACCACATGCTCATTAGCTGAGACCAGTATAATACCAGTTTTCTCACCTAGGTAATAACAATATCTACCTCAGGGTGATGATAAGGATTAAAATAGGTGATATATGTAAAGCACTTAGCTCTGTGCCAAACACAGTATCTGATGGTTATGATATTACAGGTATACCTCGTTTTGTTGCACTTTGCTTTATTGTGCTTTGCAGATACTACGTTTTTTGCAAATTGAAGGTTTGTGGCTACCCTGCCTCGAGCAAGTCTATTGGCACCATTTATCCAACAGCATGCGCTCACTTCATGTCTCTGTGTCACATTTTGGTAATTCTCACAATATTGCAAGCTTTTTCATTATTATTATATCTTTTATGGTGATCTGTGAATCAGTGATCTTTGATGTCACTGTCGTAATTGTTTTGGGGCACCACGAACTGCGCCCATGTAAGACAATGAACTTAATCGATAAACGTGTGTTCTGACAGCTCCATCGACCGAGTCGTTCATCTACCTCTCACCCTCTCTTCAGGCTTCCCTAATACCTGAGACACAACAATATTGAAATTACGCCAATTAATAGCCCTACAATGGCCTCTAAATGTTTAAGGAAGAGCTGCAAATCTCTCACTTTTAATCAAAAGCTAGAAATGATTAAGCTTAGTGAGGAAGGTGTATCGAAAGCCGAGACAGCCTGGAAGCTAGGCCTCTTGCACCAAACAGTTAGCTATGTTGTGAGTGCAAAGGAAAAGTTCTTGAAGGAAATTAAAATTGCTACTCCAGTGAACACATGAATGATAAGAAAGCAAAACAGCCTTATTGCTGATAAGGAGAAAGTTTTAGTGGTCTGGATAGAAGATCAAACTAACCACAACATTCCCTTAAGTCAAAGCCTAATCCAAGGCCCTATCTCTCTTCAATTCCATGAAGACTGAATGAGATGAAGAAGCTGCAGAAGAAAAGCTTGAAGCTTGCAGAGGTTGTTTCATGAGGTTTGGGGAAAAAAGCCGACTCCGTAACATGAAAGTGCAAGGTGAAGCAGCAAGTTATACAGAAGACCTAGCTAAGATAATTGATGAAAGTGGCTACACTAAACAACAGCTTTTCAATGTAGATGAAACAGCCTTATATTGGAAGAAGGTGCCATCTGGGACTTTCATAGCTAGAGAGGAGAAGTCAATGCCTGGCTTCAAAGCTTCAAAGTCCAGGCTGACTCTTTTATTAGGGGCTAATGCAGCTGGAGACTTTAAGTTGAAGCCAATGCTCATTTAGCATTCCGAAAATCCTAGGGCCCTTAAGAATTATGCTAAATCTACTCTGCCTGTGCTCTATAAATGGAACTATAAAGCCTAGATGAGAGCACATCTATTTACAACATGGTTTACTGAATATTTTAAGCCCACTGTTGAGACCTACTGCTCAGAAAAAAAGATTCCTTTCAAAATATTACTGCTCATTGACAATGCACCTGGTCACCCAAGAACTCAGATGGAGATGTACAAGATTAGTGTTTCCATGTCTGCTAACACAACATCCATTGTGCATCTATGGATCAAGGAGCAATTTTGACTTTCAAGCCTTATTATTTGAGAAATACATTTCATAAGACTATAGCTGCCATAGACGTGATTCCTCTGATGAATCTGGGTAAAGTAAATTGTAAACCTTCTGGAAAGGATTCACAATTGTAGATGCCATTAAGAACATTCATGATTCATTGGAGGAGGTCAAAATAACAACATTAAAAAGGGTTTAAAAAGGTTTTGAAAGAAGTTGATTCCAACCATCATGGATGACTTTGAGGGATTCAAGACTTTAGTGGGGGAAGTAACTGCAGATGTGGTGGAAATAGCAACAGAACTAGAATTAGAAGTGGAGCCTGAAGTTGTGACTGAACCGCTACAATCTCATGATCAAACTTTAACGGATGAGGAGTTGCTTCTTATGGATGAGCAAAGTAAGTGGTTTCTTGAGATGGAAGCTACTTCTGGTGAAAATGCTGTGAATATTGAAAGACAACAAAGGATTTAGAATATTCCATAAACTTAGATGATAAAGCAGCAGCCGAGTTTGAGAGGATTGACTCCAATTTTGAAATTCTGTTTGATAGCATTTTACCCACAAATTCTACTGTGGATAAAATGCTATCAAACAACATCACATGCTACAGAGACGTCTTTTGTGAAAGGAAGAGTCAATCAATGCAGGAGATTTCGTTGTTGTCTTATTTTAAGAAACTACCACAGCCACCCCAACCTTTAGCAGCCACCACCCAGATCAGTCAACAGCCATCGACATTGAGGCAAGACACTCTACCAGCCAAAAGATTACAGCTCGCTGAAGGATTAGATGATGGTTAACATTTTTTAGCAATAAAGTATTTTTTAATTTATGTACATTGTTTTTTAGGCATAATGCCATTGCACATGGTCTCAGTTACCTAATGCTGCTGTAACAGAAATACCACAAGTGGATGGCTTTAACAAACAGAAGTCTATTCTCTCACAGTTTAGGAGGGTAGAAGTCCGAGTTCAGGGCAGCTCCAGGGAAAGGTTTTCTCTCTCTGTTGGCTCTGGGGGAAGGTCTTTTGTCATCAACCTTCCTAAGAGCTTCTCAGCACAGGGACCCTAGGTCCAAAGGACGTGCTCCGCTCCTGGTTCTTCTTGCTTGGTAGTAATGAGGACTTTCTCTTCTCTTCTGGATACTCTTTTATATCTCAAAAGAGATTGACTCAAGATATAAACTAATCCTGTAGATTGTGTTCTGCCTCATTAACATAACTGCCTCTGTTCCTGCCTCATTAACATCATAGAGTTAGGATTTACAACACAGGATAATCACATCAGATCACAAAATCATGGACAACCACACAATACTGGGAATCATGGCCTAACCAAGTTGACACACATTTTGGGAAGACACAATTCAATCCACAACATACACTTAATAGACTACAGTATAGTGTAAACATAACTTTTATATGCACTGGGAAACCAAAAAATTCATGTGACTCTGTATTACAGTATTCACTCTATTGCAGTGATCTGGAACCAAACCCTCAGTATCTCCAAGGTATGCCTGTATATCATTAGCTCCATGATAAGTCAGCTGAGGTAGGAGAGGGGTTGCAGACAACCCCTCTTTCTTCACTGTTATATTGCTATTAAGAGGGGATTTCTGAACTTTTTCATGTTGGGTGTTGGAGGACTAGGCATTCACAGAATTTTTGCCCATTAGAACTAAGCACCTTTAAATACTTATAACCAGAGGATGTAAAATATTTTTAACAAAAATATTTTTCTTTCCCTGAGGCAATTATATTGATAAAGACTTGAAGAGAAAGAATGGTTGGAAGCAGATTATCTTTTATTCTGCTTCATCTGGCTGTTCTTATATCTCACTTCTCACCCTGGATATCTCCTTAACATGGCTGTTTTTCATCAGCACTACATTCCTAGGAAAGAAATCTGTTTCTCCACCTTTCTTTGGATTCTATAAGGCAGATTTGGTAGGAATCAGGAGAAACTTAATCAATAACAAAGAAATATCTACTTACAGGTTTTTCCAGTTCGATAGTGTAGTTTTTTCCTATGCTCGTCACTTTGTAGTGCTTGATTCTTGCATGCAAAAAATGAAACAAATGGTTAGTTTCCATTTAATTGTACTATTAGGTCAGTGCCAAAATAAGTATAAAATGTCACCTGTAGAGTAAACCTATGTTCCCATGACTGGTTTGGCAAAAAAGTTTTGGTAGTTTTTGTTTTTTTATTTACCTTGTTCACCATTCCTATGTAGGCATATACAAATCAAATATGTGTTCTCTATATTAAAAGAGAATGAAAAGAATTAATGTAAGAAAATTACTTTCTACTTCACTTCATCACTAGGCCAATCAAAAAAGCCTCAATGGATGTTCTTCATACTAGCTTATATACCACCATGGATTTCTGTCACCTTTCAGGGCTAACTTAGAAATATGAAAATTCCTGAGTGTGAGGTAATATATAAAAATGCAGATGAAAGTATAATAAGTACAGTAGATGAATCTTAATATCTTTCTCATTTGTAGTCATGTAGAACTCTAAATTATTACTACCTAAACACATGGTACGATCATGAAGATGGCACAGGATGGGGCAACATATTGCTCTGTTACACATAAAGTCACCATGAGTCAGAGCTGACCTGATGGCAACTAACAACATCATCGACAAAAACACATGGTATTTTATTAACTATGAACTGTTTGAAAACACGAAGCACATTCTGTTCATTTTTGTTTTCCAGAATTAGGCACAGAGTAAATTTTTATGAAACTCAATTTTAAAAACATCCAGAACCCATTTTGTAGTGCTATCTGATAGAAACTAAGTGAATGCATACTCAGCAGAAGTTAATGTCCATGCCAATTCATTTCAAACAACATTATGTTTGCCTTGAAATCCCTTAATTCAGATAGCAAGAGTATTAGAACCAAAATTTTTTCTAATGTTGAAAAGTTAATATTTATTATGCTGTCATTTGCATGAAAGAGAAACTAATTCAACAACTGTCTAAAACAAAATTGCCTGTCTGGTTTAAGTTGTCTAACAGGGCCTTTCCACCTTCTTTTTCAAAACTGCTCTCCATTTCCAGTCCACATTCATCTAGGACTGAACTACACAGAAGTCTTCTATTTAAGGTACTCTCTTCTCATCAAATACAATCCCCAAATCTTCTCTCAGTTTGACATCACAATGGAATATAGCTAATAAATGCATTTCAATGGCTTATTCTAGACTTTCGCTTTCTAAACATGGGATAATGCTTAACCTACCTACTCCCCGCACCCAGAGAAAAGTATTCATTAATGCCGAACCATAAGGAATCAGTTACAGACTAGTGATGGAAATATTTTTGGACAGAGGAGATGTATAAGTATCATCTTTCAGGCTCTGTCTTTATGCTCTACTTCTACCATGAAAAGATTTTCATATTCACAGTTAAACTTTGGAAAATGCTCGCAAATTGTAGTTAGAATTTCTGTATTTTTATGACATAAACTATTACTACTCCTTAGAAGACTAATAGGAAACTTGAAGGGTTTGGCCTTTGTAACTAGAAAAATCTAGATTCAAACTCTAGTTCTGTTGTGTGAACCTCTGTTTCTTCATCTATAACATGGGGGAGGTAATGCCTGCCTCACAGAGTTATTGTGAGTTAATGTTTGTAAAGCTGTAGATATAGTTTCTGGCACATTTAAGCTCTCAGTAAATTATAATTTTTTTTTTTTTTACTGCTTTTTAAATTTATTGTTTTAATTTAGTAATTTCTGTGAATCTCAGCGTCTTCATTTGTGAAATATGGAAAATACTATCTTAAAGTTTTTATTGTGCCTAACGTAAGTATTTGTCAAGCACTTAACACAGTGCCTACAAATGATACTCCATAAATGGGGACAGTGATTGTTGTTGTTAGTAATAGCCATCATATCATCACCATCATCATTATTCATGACAAAGTTGTGGGAGGAAAAGTAGCAAAGATCAACAGTGTCTCTTGGAACTTTTGACTAGTAAGACTAAGTTGTAAACCAGAAAATGAGGTGGAAACTAAATTTCATTAAAGTTGCTTAGGCTTTGACTCATTTTAGATCTTATGTTTTTCTTTGATATTTTGTTTTGTTTTTCCAAAAGAATAAAAGGAGAAGAAAAAAACAAGATTGATAAAATTTGCTATATATTTTCCTATGACCTCAGAAAAGTAACATGTCTTAAAATATACACATACATATATATGTGTGTGTGTATATATATATTTTATATATATATATATATATATGGCCATGAATATGGTTGTAAGTTCTTGTTCTTAACCTCTGATCCAGAGTTTTGCAAAGAAATGAGTTTGGGTAAGTACTTTTAACTGCTTTTTCAGCTAATGGCTTTCCAAAGTGGAAAGTTTGCCACCTGGTCATAACAATTCAATTTCCAGAAAACAAAACAAAACCAGGAAGTTTGCTGTAATAGCTTTATATGTTATGAATTCACACACCACTGAGTTAAGGTGGATGATATTTTACATCAAGAGGAGTCACCTGTCAATTTGACATTGAATGACTTTTGCTTCTTCCTAAGAATTACAGTCTTCCCTCCCATAGCTGATCTGTTAACAGATGGAGATAATTTTACTTTCAAGTTCTGCTTTGTAAACCAACTTGTCCTTTTCAGCTGGTTTTTTACCAGACACCCTTGTCTAACTTGTATAACTGAACGTTTCTCCTATAACCTTAAGAGAATGAATTGGTCTTGTGGGTAACACAGGTGCTTCCTAAAAAAAAATCCTGTTGACGTTAAGTCAATTCCGACTCATAGCAACCCTATAGGACAGAGCAGAGCTGCCCCATAAGGTTTCCAGGGAGTGGCTAGTGGATTTGAACTGCTGACCTTTTGGTTAGCAGCCTTAGCTCTTAACCACTGTGCCACCAGGGATCCCAGGGGCTTCCTAGTAGTCTAGATTTCTGCCAAATTCTTTACAGTAAGTTCTACAGTCTAACAAGCTAAAATTCTAATCATCTATACAAATGCTGTCCTTTAAAAATAAGTTATCTGTCAAACAGAAGTTATTAAAATCAGCATTCTAAGAGATGTATTTTGAGGCATTAGAGAACACATGGAACAATCCTTAACATCAGAAATATCTGCCTCATAAGGAAAGTTTGTGCAATCACAGTTAAAAGTCTTCTTAGCCACTTCCAGGTAGAAACTATTCCCTAAAGCCTAAATAGGCACATATTGACTCCAGTGTTAGAATGCTCTAGTTTGACCATTCTACCTCACTCCTTGCTTTCTAAATATGAACTTTTTGGAGGGGGATCAGTGTTTTTCCCAAAAAATACAGATTTTTATGGCCATCAGCTATACAAAATCATGGCTTTCTATATGAATTCAAATTGGAAGTGAGTTTACTATAATTAGAATTTCACAACTTTAATATAAACGCCTTTGCTAAACTATTTCTCATGGGTAAATATAACTTAAATACAATACAAATATAAGTAAAAACCATAAGTTAAATTCATATTCTAAGTATAGAAACTCATTGTGTTTGATTAAAAACTACATCCACAGCAGAAAATGTAGTATTTCTCAGCTCAATTGTATGGAAAATACAATGCAAAAGTTACACTAATTTAGACCACCTTAAAAGAGATCAGGCTACTGTTTTCAGGAAAAATATAGTCTTTAAAGAGCTATTAGGTCTTGAGATTTTGTTTTTCTTCATGCGGAATGGTAACACAGGGTTCACATGCGAATAGGTCAAATAATCAGACCAAGAAAGGAGTGACATGAAGGAAAACTTCTAATCAATCTTTGTGTAATCTAATTTTACTTTCAAGCAGATTACGTTTCTTTAAAATATCTGCTAGATAAAATTTTATTCAGTTGTATATCCTCTTGTTTTTAAAGTGGAAGTAGAACATTAAAGACATTCTGTATTTTATGTGAAACTCTATTTTATTTCCTAAACCCTGATTTAGAAAATAATATTGGAATCATTTATTCCCTCTCCTTGAGCATAGAGAATGTGACCCAGCTGGAACTGGGCTTACAAGGAGTCACAAGGACACATCAACTGGGCCCTGAGGTATAAAGACAATAGCTAAGACAATCTTGGAAAATATCTTTTAGGGAAACTTTCACATAAAGCCAATCAAACAGAACACAAAAGACTTTCCACTCTTGTCTTTTTCTATTAGCGTTTAGTAAGTAGAAATTTGTTGAACCAGTGAAGACCCTCCTGACTCTTGTTGCTGAATCCTGTACCAAAGATTGTTAAGAAAGACGATTCAAAATGTAGGATCACAGTTTCTAGCCAATCTGTAAAAGGTGAAGCTTTCAATGTTTTTGCCCATTTGTAATGTTAATATGTACTAATGACTCTACAATAGTCTTTGGACTCAGGCAGACATGGCTGTGGCAGCATGCCTGTCCGTTTTCCCATTCTTGCCTATTCTGTAATATTCTTTGGACTCGGGCAGACATGGCGCTAGCAGCATGCTTGTCCGTTTTCCCACTTTTGTCTGTTCTGTAATATTTTCTTGGACTCAAGCAGACATGGCTCTGGCGGCATAGTAGTCCGTTTCCCACTTTTGCCTTTTTGAATATATGCCGAATAAAACTTTCTTTTCGCTTTGCCAAAGTTTGTGATGTTTTTTTCCCCTACGATAACCCTGAAGAGAACAAGTTCCTTGACCAGGATATACTAAACAGAAAAATTCACATTCTGCAGGGAGTTCTTCTAAACTCACTGACGTTTAATGGCAGTCACAGCTTTCATTTCTTTTGAGTTTGTCAAGATAGCCAATTAAATTACAAATCAAATAAGTTGTAACTGGATAATCTATTATGTTTTGCCATATTAGCTGAAAATCCATTAACTCCAAATGTTTATAAAAAAACAGAAAAAATAAAAAAACTACAAAGTTAAGTTAAAACAGACATACGTTGTATAAAGATTCTCCCTCTCTCTCTCTCTGGATCAGATTTACCATCAAACATTCTTGCCATCTGTTCAGTGCACATGGCTACTGTATTAAGACAAGTCTCTGTTTATAAAGAGTAATTGGCAAGTGAATGAAGCTTACTGTGCCATAGCTCATACTTGTAATGTAGTCACAATGTCATAATTTTAATTGTGTCCTATGAGTTATTGTTTTCTTTTTACTGCCTTATTCATTGTCAATGTCAATGTCTCCATTTAATCTAGCAGTATTGATAGATTTTTTGGCTTTCCAAAGTGGAAAGCTTGCTACCTGGTCATAACAATTTCAAAAAACAAAACAAAACCAGGAAATTTGTTGTAAAAAATAGCTTTATATCTGAATTCATACATCACTGCGTAAAGGTGTGGAAAACAAATTTCATTGAAGTTACTTAACATCTGTTATTGCTAAAACAAAAAACAAAAAAACAAAACCATAAACAGGCCCATAAAATAAACAATAACACCTGAGAGGAACATGCTCCTTAGAACAATCAATTATATGAGATCAAAAGGGCAACATTTGCCCAAAAGCAAAGAGAAGGCAGGAGGGTTAAAAAAAATTAGGAGGAAAGGAAACGGGGAACCCAGGACAGAAATGGGGAGAGTGCTTACAAAAAAACAAAAAAAAAAAACCCTAACAGAATAGCAAATTCAAGAATCAAAGTTTTGTTTATGCTTTTATATGAAAGATAATCGTTTATTGGCCCTGGTAGCACAGTGGTTAAGAGCTTGGCTGCTAACCAAAAGATCGGCAGTTGGAATTCACCAGCAACTCCTTGGAAACACTGTGCGGCAGTTCTCCTCTGTCCTATAGGGTAGCTATGAATCGGAATCAACTCGACAGCATACGGGTTTTTGTTTTTGTTTTATGACATTTTTTCCCTATCCTTGTGTTCATGTTTTCAGCCCCAACAAAACACATAGCAGGTGCTGACCTGTATCTGTGTGATTTTGTCTTCCAAGCCATATCATGCTTTTTAACTATTCCATAAATTTTTTAATTAAACATACTCTGTCTCCTGCCGGATAGTGATGGAGTAGTTTCTACTGTCACTACCAGGCCTCAGGATCATATTTCCCCATGAAGGTTTCTCCTCAAGCATCTCAGTTGCTTCTTTCCGGGACACTGTATAGAAACACCTACAGAGGTAAGAGAAAAAAAACAGAATTTTGTTTGCTTGTTTTTTAAACTGATGAAAAACTACTACACAAAAAAGTGCTACTAAAATAACTTTGAGATTTGCAGTTATTAACTGTTCTCAAATCTTCCAGCTTTATTTTAATTGTTGTTGTTAGTTGCCATTGAGTCAATTCCAACTCATGGTGACCCCATGTATGTCAGAGTAGAACTATGCTCCATAGAGTTTTCATGGATGTGATTTTTCGGAAGCAGATCACCAGGCCTGTCTTCCAGGACCCTCTAGGTTGGTTCAGACTGCCTTTTTGCTAGTAGTCGAGCCCTTGAACGTTTGTGCCAACCAGGGAGTCCTTATTACAGTTAGAATCGTGTAATTACAACTATTCCAAGTCTGCATCTCTATGAGTATGCTAATGATTAAAGCCCTCCATCCCTCATCCCTCCAAAGCCTCTTCCTTTAACCAAAGAGGACTTGAAAAGATTTCTATTGATCAGTATATAATCACCATTACCATTTGAAAATTTAAGACAAGAATTAGCAATATATCCCCAGTCTCAGAGTTTTCAGTATTTGTTGGTAGGTTCTTTACCGGGATACAAAACATCTCTATAATTGTTTATCTTCTATGTCTCTATTTTAAAAAACTGATATATAAGAGTATGTCTGAACCCACTACTTTTGTATAATATGGCTTTCTTATGGCATTGTTGGTGTTTTAATGTGCAAAATAAAAAATGAAGCACTTCCCATTTTTATGATATATATTATAATCACTGAAATGTATAGCCATAGGAAAGAAATCTAGCAGAATACACAAAAATGTTAACAGAAATTACCTCTGAGTAGTGGGAATGATTTTAATCTTCTTTTTATTTATCTGTAATTAATATATATTCCTTTTTTATTGAGAAAAAAAAGCAAAAGAAGCTGTTTATGTGACCTACCACTCCATCAGTTGTCACTGGTTTTAGCTTAAAGTGACAGCTGGCACGTTTCTGTGATTTTAATACAAATAAAATAGGTATCAGAACCTGACGTCAAAGACGGTACCAGGGCAAGTTTCAAATGACAAGGAAACCAAGATTCCAGGAGAAAAGGGCTTCCTATCTTGGTCACAGTTTTCAACAATATATAGGATGTTGCTGAATTCAGCATGTTCTATGCTTTTTTTTTTTTTAATACAACGTTACGCATACACAGGGTCTTCCTCAAAGTGCAAGCTCAATAATTACTACTGGTTAATTGGTTGGTTGAATAGAACATTCTAGATATTTTAAATTACTTGCTATAATTTTCTGATAGAAAAAATGGTCAATCATACAGCTGTATAGTGAAAAATATCTTTTCCTTTTTTCTTGGTAATAGTCTTTTTTTAGGTTTGAGCTCTGGAAAGACTATCTATTTGGTCTAAAGGTGTGGGTGGAAGGGGATTTCCTGTGTGGTAAGAGAGTTGGTTCAAATATATGTTTTGCTGATCATGACATAGAAGAGGAAATGTGGCATGTACTCAGAAATATGCAGTTTATCCCCAAGACAGGTTATTGTCCCTGTTTTAATGAGTTCAAGTGGCTAACTCCCTTGGATAACTAACAATTGGAATGTAACAATCTAATGAATAAACTATACTCATTGTGGACTTACGCTGGCATAGGGTTCAGTAGATCCACATAATCTTCAGTTGTTTCCTTCTCTTTTTCAACAGATGTACTAGGTAGTCGCTCTGTCTCAATCCTCCTTTTCTTTTCTCTCTCTAGGACTTCATGCAGTCTAATTACTTGCCCAGGTAGGAGTGACACATGTTGGGGAACTGACAGCTGAAACCAATTAAAGGAAGAGCCAGCCAAGAAAGAGCAAAATAATTAGCAGATTTTAGCAAAGGTGGGCCTGGTCAGGCCCTAAGCAGCTTCAGTTACAGAGATGAATGGGTAGAATCACGAGTTGGAGTTCTTGGTCTGGGGTAAGTGTCTTAGAATTGCCTCTAAATCAACTAAAACCTGAACAGGAAATCTTCCTTTTGGTTTGTTCCCAACGTAGATATACCCTCACCTTGCTGTTATTGTTCTTAGTTGCCATTGAGTCGATTCCAACTCCTGGTGACCTCATATGTGTAGAGCAGAACTGCTCCACAGGTTTTCAAGGCTGTGACAGATCACCAGGCCTGTATTTTAAGGCACCTCTGGGTGGGTTCGAACTGCCAACCTTTCAGCTACTAGTTGAGCGCTTAACTGTTTGTACCACCCAGAGACTCCTAATGAAATAGCTATTCTTCATTAATTACCTATTACATCCCAGCATTTTATATGTTATTTCAAATCCTCACAGCTATGCTACAAGATTGGTATTGCTATTCCCACTTTACAAATGAAAAAAGAAGTCTCAGATCAAATAAAAAGTCCAGGGTCATAAAGCTAGTAAATTGTGAAACCAAGACTCAAACATAAATTTATGTGATTCAAAAACAAAGTCTACTCTGTTCTACAGAGTCAGTACGAGTTGGAATCAGCACAATGGCAGTAGGAATATATCAATGTATATTTTAATATAAAATAATGCTCTTTATCCTTACCCAGTGCTACTCACCAAAGTAGAATGTAGAATATTTTCTTTATAAACTATGTTATGCCAATTGAGCTAGATTTTCCCTGAGACCATAGTCCCCACAGCCCTCAACCCAGTAATTCAGTCCCTCAGGGAGTTTGGATGTGTCTATGGGGTTTCCATGACCTTGCCTTGGACAAGTTGTGCTGGCTTCCCCAGTATTGTAACATACCTCTTTTGATGATGGACAAAACAACTAGAAAGAAACTCCACAAAAGATACAGAAGATCTAAATAACACAATCAAACAACTTGATCTCCTGGACACATACAGAGCACTCCACCCAACAGCAATGCACTATACATTCTTCTCCAACATACATGGATCATTCTCTAGAATTGACCATATCTTAGGCCACAAAGCAAGCCTCAATAAATTCAAAAATATCAAAATAATACAAAGCATCTTCTCAGACCACAATGCTATAAATTAGAAATCAATAACAGGAAGAACAAGGGAAAAAATAAAATACTTGGAAAATGAACAATACTGTGCTTAAAAACCACTGGGCTATAGAAGAAATTAAAAATGAAATAAAAAATTTCCTAGAATCAAATGAGAATGAAAATACTACATACCAAAACCTTTACGTCACAGCAAAAGTAGTGCTTAGAGGGCGATTTATAGGAATAAATGCACACATCAAAAAAGAAGGGCCAAAATCAATACCTTAACCCTACAACTCAAACAAATAGAAAAAGAGCAGCAGAAGAAGCCCACAGCTGCTAGGAAGAAAGGAAATAATAAAAAGATTAGAGCAGAAATAAATGAAACAGAAAACAGAAAAACAATTGAAACAATCAACAAGACTAGAAACTGATTCTTAGAAAGGATCAATAAAATCAACAAGCCACTGGCCACACATTGCCAAAAGAAAAAAGGATACGATGTAAATAGTCCAAATAAGAAATGAAATTGGTGACATTACAACAGAACAAAGTGAAATAAAAAGGATCATAACAAAATACTATGAAAAATTATACTCCAACAAATTTGAAAACCTAGAGGAAATGGACAAATTCCTAGAAACATATTACCTACCTAAACTAACACAAACTGAAGTAGAAATTCTGAACAGACTCATAAAAGAGAAGAAATTGAAGAGGTCATTAAAAAAAATTACCAACAACAACAACAAAAAAATCCCTAGACCAGACAGTTTCACTGGAGAATTCTACCAAACATTCAAAGAGTTGACACCAATACTACTTAAACTATTCCAGAATATAGAAAAGGAAGGAATACTCCTGAATTCATTCTATGAAGCCAGCATAACCCTGATACCAAAGTCAGTCAAAGACACCACTAAAAAAGAAAATTACAGACCAATATCCCTCATAAATGTTCATGTAAAAATTCTCAACAAAATTTCTAGCCAATAGAATCCAACAACACATCAAAAACATAATACATCATGACCAAGTGGGATTCATACCAGGTATGCGAGGATGGTTCAACATTAGAAAATCAGTCAACATAATCCACTACATAAATAAAACAAAGGAAAAGAATCACATGATCATCTCAATTGATACAGAAAAGGCATTTGATAAAGTTCAACACCTGTTCCTGATAAAAACTCTCACCAAAATAGAAATAGAAGGGAAATTCCTCAACATAACTATGGCATATACACGAAACAAACAGCCAACATTATTCTGAGTGGAGAGAAACTGGAAGTATTCTCCCTAAGAACAGGAACGAGACAAGGAAGCCCTTTATCACCACTCTTATTCAACATTGTACTGAAAGTCCTAGCTAGAGCAATAAAGCAAGAAAAGAAATAAAGCGCATCCAAATTGAAAAGGAAGAAGTAAAACTATCCCTGTTCACAGGCAATATGATCCTATACATAGAAAATCCCATAGAATCCACAAGAAAGCTACTGTTACTAATACGATTCAGCAAAGTATCAGGGTACAAGATCAACATACAAAAATCAGTCGAATTCCTCTACACTAACAAAGAGAACTCCAAAAAGGAAATCACGAAAATAATGCCATTTACAATAGCTCCCCAAAAGATAAAATACTTAGGAATAAACCTAACTAGGGACGTAAAAGACTTATACAAAGAAAACTACGGAACACTACTGCAAGAAATCAAAAGAGATCCTCATAAATGGAAAGACATACCGTGCTCATGGACAGGAAGACTTAACATTGTGAAAATGTCAAAACTACCCAAAGCAATCTATAGTACAATGCAATCCCAATCCAAATTCCAACAGCATTCTTTAACGTCATGAAAAAACTAATCACCAATTTTACATGGAAAGGAAAGAGCCCCCAGATAAGTAAAACATTACTGAGAAAGAAGAACAAAGTAGGAGGCCTCACACAACCCGATCTCAGAACCTACTATACAGCAACGGTAGTCAAAATGGCCTGGTACTGGTACAATGACAGACACATAGACCAATGGAACAGAATTGAGATCCTAGAAATAAATCCATCCATCAGTGGACACCTGATCTTCGACAGAGGGCCGAAGTTCATGTGATTGGGTCAAGCTACTGGGTCTGAGGGTTGGGGACCATGGTCCCAGGGGACATCTAGGTCAATTGGCATAACATAGTTCATAAAGAAAATGTTCTCCATCCTACCTTGGTGAATAGCATCTGGAGTCTTAAAAGCTTGTGAGCAGCCGTCTAAGATACATCTATCGGTCCCATCCCACACGGAGCAAAGGAGAATGAAGAAAACCAAAGACACAGGAAAATATTAGTCCAAAGGACTAATGGAACACATGAACCACAGTCTCCACCAACCTGAACCCAGAAGAACTAAATGGTGCCTGGCTACCACCACTGACCACTCTGACATGGATCACAATAGAGGATCCAGGACAGAGCAGGAGAAATATGTAGAACAAAATTCAAATTCACAAAAAAAAGACCAAACTTATTGGTCTGACAGAGACTGGAAGAACCCCTGAAACCATGGCCCCTGGACACCCTGCTAACTCAGAACTGAAGCCACTCCTAAAGTTCATCTTATAGCTGAAGATTAGATAGGCCTAAAAAAAACAATAACACATGTGAGGAACATGCTTCTTAGATCAGTCGAGTATATGATACCAAGTGTGCAACACCTGCCCAAAAACAAAGATGATAAGACAGGAAGGGACAAGAAAACTGGACAAATGGATATGGGGAACCTGGGATGGAAAGGATGAGAGTGCTGACACATTGCAGGGATTGCAACAAATGTCACAAAACAATTTGTGTATAAATTTTTGAATTAGATACTAATTTGCTCTGTAAATTTTCACCTAAAGCACAATAAAAGATAATAATAATGCATATCACCCATAAGTAATGTGGTCTTTTGAAAAAAATCACCTATATGAGACCAAAGGGTCAACTTTAAAACAAGGATGAGAATGTAAAGGGGCAGGGAAACTAAATTAATGGAAATGAAATAATGAAAATATTCACCCTTTGTGAAGATTGTAAACAATGTCACTGAACAATTTGTGTAGAAATTGTTGAATAGAACTTAAACTGCTGTGTAAACCTTCACCCAAAACACAACAAAATATTATATATACATGTATATATGAAGTGCATAAGAAATGAATTGGAAAATATTTTTGAAGATGCTACCTAAGCTACAAATATCAGAATTTAGAAAGGACTACTGTTCCCAAAAGATAAGACCAAAAAGTAGCTCTCCCTGACCACCTATAATTCTCTAGCACATGGCCCTGTTTATTTTCTTCATAACGGTATAAAATTATCTTGTTTGTTTACTTTTTTAATTTCTCTCTCCCTCTCCCCTCGCTCCACAAGGATATAAATTTCATGAGTAAGTGCAATGGGTTGTCTGTCCTTTATTTGCTGTATCTTCACCTTCTTTCACTATGCATGACCCATAGTAGCTATCCAGCCAATTGTTTGTTGAATGAATGACTGAAGCAAAAATAATGACCTTCTTACCTCTGTTACCGTAAGAATGAAGCCTCTCCATTCTTCCCCACTTTCTGTGTTCTCTGTCTAAAGATGAATACAAAAACAGATAAAGAAAAAGAAGAAAACGTGAGTCACTATGAACTTTAATACTTTTATTAACTTCAAATAACTTAAGAATTTCATGATTATTTTATGACTCAAAATATATAATCCATCAAAATTCAACAATATTGACAATATTTTCATATTCTTCTACTGAAGCACCTTGCTTTAAAAAGTAAACTGTAATTTTTTAAATCACTTAAAATCAGTTGAAAGGAAGAAAAAATTTATTTTCATTTTTCCTAGAATAGTTAATGTATATTTGTTATGAAATATTTCAATACTATTTTCTTTTGTCAAAAGACAGAAGTACCCCCTGAAACTATGGCCCCTGGAAACCCTGCCAACCCAGAACTGAAACCATTTCTGAAGCCCACATTTCAGACAAAGATTAGACAGGCCTATAAAACAAAAAAATAACGCACGTGAGGAACATGCTTCTTAGTTTAATCAAATATACGAGACCAAATGGGCAGATCCTATCCAAAAGCAGGACAAGAAGGCAGGAAGGGACAGGAACTGGAAGAGTGGACACAGGGAACCCAGGGTGGAAAGGGGGAATGTGTTGTCACATTGTGGGGATTGTAACCAATGTCACAAAACAATATGTGTATAAATTCTTGAATGAGAAATTAACTTGAGCTGTAAACTTTCACCTAAAGCACAATTTAAAAAAAACAAACAAACAAAAACCTGAGGCTTGGAAAAAGAAAAAAGACAAAAGTATACCATGAGATCAGAATAACTAGATGGTGCATGGCTACCATTACTGAACATTTTGATCAAAGGATCTATAGGGGGATCAAAAATGGGGAAAATGCAAAACAGAATTTCAAATTCTCATGGAATCCAGAGTTTCTGGAGCCATCGAGGCTGGATGAATCCCTGAAACTATTGCCCTGAGATAATCTTTAAACCTTAAACCCAAAATATCCCCTAGGGTATTGTTAAAACCAAACAATAATTTAGCTTAACTAGCAAGGAATGTCTGCCTTGAGCATTGTGCTTTTTTAAGATCTATCTATATGGGATCAAATTGACAACCACAACTCGAAAGATTAGGTAGGAAACTTAGGGGGCAGTGAGTTTATGTTAATGTGAGATGAACCAACTTGGAAAAAGAGGGTTATAATGGTTGTACAACTCAAAGAATAATCACTGTAACTGAATTATACATGTTGAAATTATCGAACTGGTATATATTCTGCTGTGTGTATTCTCAACAACAAAAATGAAATTATTTTTAAAAAGACAGAAGTATATAACTTTAATCTGTTTGTTTGCTAAACAAGTAAAATTGTATAAATTTACCTAACTTGAAAAATTTAGATGTTAGCAAACTTATCTTTGCAGTATGTCAATTCATTAGTACTCTACTAGTGGTACTTAACATTGACTGACTTTAAGTTTAGGGCCACCGGGAAGGAAGAATGCAGTTAGTCCTAAGATACTTCGAATTCTTAGCAGTTAACTCTTGTTGTTGTTAGGTGCCGTTGAGTCAGTTCTGATTCATAGCAACCCTCTATAAGCAGTTTACTACTACTATTATTATTAGTAATAATAGTATCAGCCAAGACCTATTGGGTGCTTACAAGTGTTCTAAGTACGTCACAAGTATTAATTGATTTAATCTTCATGGTGACTCTCTGATAAAGGTACTATTTTCTATTTTACAGATTTGTTCGTTCAATAAATATTTATTGAGTACCTTTTGTGTACCGGGAAGTATTCTAGGTACTGGTTTATATCAGGAAACAAAGCAAGACCCTTGTTCTCATGGAGTTTAGTCTAGCAAGGGATAATAAATAAGAACTGTAATATGTGAGTAAATTGTATAGTGCCAGAAGGAAATAAGTACTATGGAAAAATGAAAAAAGTAGAGCAGGGTAAAAGAGATTGGGAGTGCCAATGAGGATGAGAAGGAGAAAAGAGATGCAATTTTAAAAAGTGGCCCAGGTAGGCCTCAGTGAGAGGGTTACATCTGAGCAAAGACTTGCTTCTGGGTGAGGAAAGTAAGGCACAAAGATCACAAATGACTTGCCAAAGATCACACAATTAGTAAGTAAAAGAGCCAGCATTCAAACCTAGGCAATCTGATTCTAATCCTGTGCTCCTACCCACCACAATAGAATCATCTAGGGAGCCTGCTTAAAACTGTAGATTCCTGGGCACAGATTTCAGGTGGGGAACTGTATTTCCCATGTACTAGTGATTCCTATAATACTAAAGTTTAAGACCAATACTTTCAAGGTCAATCAGTAATCTCCTGGGAAAGTCTCTACCTGCATCTTATTCAATTACAAGTTCTCTTTTTGTTATTACTGCAATTGTTGACTTTAATTGGCTCACTTTGAATGATGATTCGAGAACTACCTTTGAAAAACACCAGGTGGAATCCCTGACTTTTTCAGAGGACAGAAGTATATTGTTTCAACATGCTTGTAAACTAAACAAGTAAACATGCCCTTTTAAATCTCGATTCAGAAAACTGTAGTTCTTGACAAAAGATAAGAAATATTAACAAAGTACAAGACTTAGTGCTCCTCCTACAAAACCCGTTTACTTCAACCATTCAATAAGAGATGAATGCTATTTATAGCTACAACTCATTATAGACTATTTGCTTCTCCTCACTCACCTTCAGTTGCACTTCCTCTTTTGGCAAAACAAGGGTGAATTTTGCACAATTCTTTTCAGTTGAATTCTGATCACTAAGGCAAGTAAGATCTATTATGTCTAATTTGTCAATATACTGCAAAGATAAAGGGAAATCTCATTAAATTATTTCATGGCTAATACACGTTCATCCTAGCAGGAAGGACATTAATATCTTCCTTTCAACTCATTCGTACTTTGCATGATATTCTGTTTCTCAACTTGGCATCACACCCCTTCTTAATCCCCCAAAAAACCTTTGGCAATGCAGTAGTATGCTGGCTAATACAGACTTGCAAAAGCCAGTTATTATATTTTCACTAATTTAGCAGCCAATTTTTAAACACAGCCACTATTAAAAATTAAATTACATACATTTATATACATAAATTAATATATTGGTAAAGTAGAGGGTCAGCAAAACAGAGGAAGACCCTCAACGAGATGGATTGACACAGTGGCTGCCACAATAGGCTCAAGCACAGTAAGCACAGCAACCATTGTGAGAATGGCGCAGGACTGGGTGGTGTCTCGTTCTGTTGTACATAGGGTCACTATTAGTCAGAGCCATGTATGCTACACATTCTTTATATCAGTAATATTTACAATAAATTTATGTACATATATACATGCATACATTTTTTCTCAGACAGCTAGTCGTTAAATATTTACCACACACCACTGGTTACGAGAATTCTATTAAGAAATTCCTATCTTATCAAGTACCATAGAAAGATTTCTTCTGAGCAACTGGTATATATGAACTGGTCTGTATGCAACTGGCCAGACTTGCCTTCTGAAAAAAAACCTGTTACCATCGAGTCAATTCCGACTCATAGTAACCCTATAGGACAGAGTAGAACTGTCCCATAGGGTTTCCAAGGAGTGGCTGGTGGATTTGAACTGCCAACCTTTTGGTTAGCAGCCTTCTAGAAAGATTAAAACCACCTGTAATAAGCTTAGTAGGGTTTTTATGGTATAATATTTTGCTAAATTAGCCCCACTCCTTACTTCATTTTATCTCCTTCCTCTATTTTCCTTTCTGTTATGCCCAATTTGAGTCCCTGGGTGTTACAAATAGTTAATGCACTCAGCTGCTCACTGAAAGGTTGGAGATTCTAGTCCACCTAGTGGTGCCTCTGAAGAAAGACCTGGTGATCTACTTCAGAAAAATCAGCCACTGAAAACATATGAAACACAGTTCTGCCAATTTAACTTATCTTACTGTATTCTTAAGAGTCTCCTTATTTTATTTTTCTGAATAATGTAGGATATTAAAATAAATAAATAAATAGTTTCCAGAGCTGTGTCTATGTTGATGAGGTTGAAGGTGAGTTTCGGTTGACCTATTTAGTTTCAATGAACAAAAAACAATTAAAACGGAAGGAGAGGAGCAAAGAAGGAGAACAATATTTAAAATTAAGTATTTAGAACAAAATATTTTTCTGATGGATTGTCTAGATCAAGCTCACTGAGTTTTGCTGATACAAAGAAGGAAGCAACAGAGGAAGAGGTGGTATATTTAGATAGAGTGCCTTAAGCTGATCCGTTGATTAGATGAAGGGAAGTCATAGCTCTTTGTTTCTCACTTTAATTGTAGTGTTGACAAGAGCCTTAAAGGTCATCTAGTGTAGCTGTCCATTTGATGCTCAAATCTCCTCCAAGGCAACCCTCCATGAAGTCATCCAGCCTATGTCTGAACGTCTCTAACAACTTGAAACTCATGCCTCCTAAGCATCTCTGCCTGCTATCGTTTTTCATGTTTTGAGCCACAGTTGTTCTCCAGATAATTTCCATTCATTGATCCTAGTCCCTTTTCTTTGGAATAATATTAAACAAACTCAGTGTCTCTTTCACATGACCTCCTGACAGTCCTTAAAATATTAAAAAAAAAAAAAATCCATTGCCATCAAATCAATTCCGACTCCTAGCGACCCTATATGCCAGAGTAGAACTGCCCCATAGAGTTTCAAAGGCAGCTTTAAATTCTTCCCTGCTATAGGCTATGTATCCACAGTTGTCACCTACTCTGTCCCTGTGTTTTGTCCTGATACTATGCCCAAAAAAATTTCCCCAAAGATCTGCATTCTCATTTAACAAATTGATAGATGGGCAATTCTGTGGTATTTCATCATACCAATCTCTTTGTGGCATAATGGTTAAGAATACAGGCTCAGCAGCAAGAAATACCTGGACTGAATCCTTTTTATTAGTTGTATGATCTTGTGCAATTTCTTAATCCTGCAAGTCGACTATTCTCATCTATAAAATGGGGATTAAAATAGTACCCACTCTGCAGAGCTGTTGTGAGCATTAAATGAGATTATAATGCACATAAAACGTTTGAACGCTTACTATGTCCCAGCTACTCTCTTAAATCCTTACATCTACTACCTCATTTCATCATTTTGATAGCCTTATGAGATGGGTTACTGTTTTCATCTTAAAGATTTGAAAAGCTGAGCATGTTGGAGATCTTCATTTGCTTCTCCAGATGTATTTTCATCCCTTCACTTCCAACACTCTGTCCCAGGAGGGGAATCTATATGGACAACATCAATGGGCTCCCTTTCCCTTTGGCTTCCTGTTGGGGTAGACCACTGGGAACACCAGCAGGAGATCAGAAAAGTGAAGAGAGTTGGGCTGGGTATTTATTACCCTATAGGGTCGCTGTGAGCTGAAATCGACTCGACGGCAGTGAGTTTGGTTTTTGGTTTGGCAATTGCTTTGGGCTGTGTCTCTCAATCAAAGATCATACTTGTCTCAAGGCAGTCATCTCCACACAACCCTTGCCACTACTCTCCCACTCTTTCCTCTTGCTCCTTGAAGTGGTAATAGGGCACTGTCACTAGCCCCAGGGTTCTATACTATCCTTTATTGTTCTCCTACAACCTCTCCACTGCTTTGAATATACTACCTTTATGAAACTCTCTTCAAATCACCCATTTTGAGATGTCACCTGTTTCCTATGAGTTCTCTGACTGATACACTGAAACACAGAGAGGTTAGGTAACTAGCCCAAGATCCCACAATTAACAGTGGCAGGACCAGGATAAAAACCCACGCAGTCTGACTAGAGAGACCAAGTTCTCAATCACTAAACTGTACTGCCTCTTTCTATGTTGTAAGTGAGCCACAACTGTTAGGTCTCTCACTTACTGTGTATTATACACTGTTTCAACCAGGGTCTTTTATACTTACTGCAGTGGAAAGCTGGAAGGCATAAAAGAAAAATTAGTTCTTTATATATATCATGGTATTTGAAAACACCCGTATATAAATCTTGTCTAACCAGAATGCTGGTGAAAAATGACTATTTTAAGCTTTTTTTAAATGACTTTTGGCTCTGGTTAAGGAGCCCTGGTGGCACCGTGGTTAAGCAGTCAGCTGCTAACTGAAAGGTCACTGGTTTGAACTCACCAGCTGCTCCATGGGAGAAAAATGTGGCAGTCTACTTTGGTAAAGATTTACAGTCTTGAAAACCCTATGGGGCAGTTCTACTCTGTCCTACAGGGTCACTGTGAGTCAGAATTGACTCGATGGCAGTGGTTAGTTTACTGCAAACTGTACTAAAATAGCTGCAGGTGGAACATATCACACAGGTGCTTATTCTGCTTCTTTCACTAGATCTTGTCATCAAATGATAGTGTTCTAAGAAGTGTGGGCAACTATGTACGTAGTCTAAAATATTTAAACAGCAAGCTACTGGCTCATGAAATCTCTTAGCACATAGTGTTCCAAGGTAGACAAGCATTTGCCAACAAAATATTGCAGTTTATTTGTGGAAAGAATGAAACAAAATCAGAATTTGGAATTAATACAAATAAATAAATCTCAGCATCCCTTTATTGTTATCCTCATGTTTGAGCTCTTAGAAGCCCTGTTGAGTGAAGAATGTCTTAGTCTTCCTAGAAAAATTAATTTGTAGCATATCGTATGATGCTCTTCAAATTACCTTGTTCCTTTCAGATTATAATGGCATGCTATGCCAAAATAAAAAGTGGGGAAAACTTAGGTTATCACCTGGTATTAGACAACTTATATTCAGATATCTAGTTAAAAAATTCACTTTTCAACCAAGTTTTTTACTATCAGGATCAGAAAGAAAAGAATGCAAAGAGAAAACCATGAGTTTACACGTTCTCTCTGAGCTGCCTAGGAAATTTTACCACGTGTGTTGTCATAATCAACAGCCCTCACAGATTTAAATTTTCCTGTTTGAATTGGTTTTACTAGAACATCTTCACTATTGAAAAGCAGAAAATCCAGAATAAATACTGGACTATGTGACAAGCGCATATTGGGAAAAATATTGAATCAGCTAAACAGGTTTAACTTACTATTGTACTTTTTTTGTCGGTATAAAAGAAAAGTGTAGTTCCTCTCAACTCTGTCCAATAATGTTTAAACTCCTGTGGGAAAGAAATTATGAGCATTATTTCATTAGTGTATATTCAACTATTTCCCTATTGATTTTTTCTTTTGTGACTTTCTTAATTACTTGTATGTTGTAAGGTGGTTATTCATTCTGAGATAATTTAAATATTCACCTAAATTTTTATAGCTTATTTAACATTTTATTCTTCAGTCCTTCTCAAATTTATTTTAGTGTATAATTTATGGTAGGGATGCAATTTGATTTGCCTTCATTTCCCAAAACTTTCCTCATTGATTTAAGATACTTGACTTTTTATGCACTTTCAGTGGGAGCTTACACAGATAAGATAGCCAATTTAAGGGGCCAGAATAGGACAAGCATATAATACCAATCTTGAAGGAAAGTTGAAAGGGCTGAATGAATTAACACATGTAAAGCACTTAGCACAGTGTTTGGCTCACAGTTTGGGTTCAATAAACGGTAAATATTATTGTTATTACAAGGAAATGTGAGAAATTGATGATGATGAAAATAATTTAACACCATTAAAGTTGAACCTTGAAATTCAAAATTTCATTCAGGTAGTGAACATTTGATTATTATATTCACATTACTATGGGTTTTATAGAAATACAACATTTAAAAATTTTAAATAATCTAATTAGACTCGATTTCACTCAAGTGAAAGTTTATTCAAATAAATAGAATTTACATTGTATGAAGATTGGTTATATTACAAAAGAATGGCAAGGGAGTTTAAATAATAAAATCCTTCAACTTCTAAAGACTTACCTTCATACCCAGCCCTTTCCAAAAGTATGGTTAAAAAATTCCAGTCAGTTTAAGAGACATGTTCACCATTCCTTACTTTAGGATTTGATGAATTGAATTCTTGCAATATGTTTGATCATTATGACTTTTATCAGCAAAAGGTTTGTGACTTCTTCAGAATTTATACATTTATTTTCTCAACCCATCTTGCTTTTATTTCCTTGGCTCCCAGGAAACTCAAGATTAAGGTCATTCTAAATTATAGCAACCATCTTTTCATATGTTCTTCCTTCATCTTCCATAGTTTCCGATATCTGGTAAGGTGCTGTATTAGTTAGCTTTTACTGTGTAACAAGCTATCCTAAAACTTAGTGGACTAAATGAGGAAATATTTTCTATTTATCACCATTCTGTAGCTGACTAATTGGTTTTTCTGGTCTAGACATACTTGGCTGCAGCTAAATGATCTAGATTGACCTCACTCAGTTGTCTAGGACTTAGCTGGGAATGCCAGAATGGCTGGGAAGGCTGGAACAACTGGGGCCTCACTCCATATAGTCTCTTATCCTCCAGTCAACTAGCCTAGACTTGTTAACATGATGGCAGAAAGGTTCCCAGGAGCAAGAGAGGGCAAACCCTAATGTGCAAGCATTTTCCAAGCTTCTACTTATGTCACATGTACCAAAGCATGTCACATGACCAAAGGGTAGAAAAATAGACTCAACCTCTTTATGCGAGGAGTAGAAAAGTCACATTTCAAAGGGGGATGACAGTGAAGCCTGAACAAATTGGTAGTATTACTGCAGCAACCTACCACAGGGGCAAGGTTTCTTTGTCCAAGCCCAGTGGTCTTTCTACTCCATCCTACTTCCCAGTTGAGAACTGGCTACAACGCGTACCAAATCTGCTGATGCCTCCTGAACCAAGAAACAATTACCACGGGAAAGAACAATTCGAAACAGTGTGTGATCAAAAGATCAGCCAATAGATGGCCCCATGAGGAGCAATTACAAAACTAGGCAAAGAGGCTCTTACTCTTGTCTGAAATCCAGATGCCCAATATATATAACTGACCTATCTCAGAGTCAAGCAATTTAATAAGGCAAGAGAACACAACTCAATCTCAGCAACCTCAGAAGTCTTTTCTTTATTTCTTTTCATATAAGATGCAAAGTGTTATTGCCATTGCAATAGCACCTTAACCTGGTCTCTCTAGTGCCTTCTTACACTCTCCAATTCTGTATATTCTGCACAGTGCTGCAAGAGTGGATTAATCTCATCTGCACAGAGCAGGGCTGAGTATAAGTGAATTTGGGAAAGGCTCAACATAGCTGCTTCCTGTCCTCTCTCAGCTCAGCCTACTAGGAAAGAGTGGGTATTCTGCTCTGTTTACTGCCATGTGGAAGAGTCCTCAGAGATGGGCAGGCTTGTGTCACTTCAGCTGAGGCAGTGAAAGGGGGCTCAGTGCTATTTAAAGCTGGAGTAAAGTATTGGCATACTTTTGGCCTTAAATTTAAACCACTTATTTACTGTTGTTGCTGTTAGCTGCCTTTGAGTCAATTCCAACTTGTGGCCACCCCAAGTGTGCACAGTAGAACTGCACTCCATAGGGTGCTCAAGGCTGTGATCTTTCAGTAACAGATCACTAGGCCTTACTTCCTAGGCATCTCTGGGTGACTTTGAACTGCCAGCCTTTTGGTTAATAGCCTAGTGCTTAGCCGTCTGTGCCACCCAGAGATGCCTCACTTATTTATAGACTTTATCAGTAATAAAAGTAATAAACTGATCTTCATTTTTGTGATTTCTTCATTTTCAATTAGTTCAAACTTGGGAAAGAAAAAATTCCAACAAAAGGTATAAAAATGTAAAAGGAGCAGGAAAAATCGGGAGTGACTGCTAATGGGGTTTCTTTCTGGGGTGATGAAAATGTTCTGGAAATAGTGGTGATGATTGTACAACTTTGTGAGTATACAAAAAACCACTGAATTGTAAATAAAAATAATAGTTATAATAATAATAATAATTGCTGTGTATGCTGCATGAAAAACAGTTCTATTAAGGGAACAAGAATAGAAGCAGGGAGAACAGCCTTTGGCTATTGCTTCAAAGAGTTGTTGAAGGATTGAATGTGATAATAATGCATGTAAAGCTCTTGGGGCCCAGGACATAGCGAGTGTTCAGTAAATGCTGGCCACTAAAAAAAAAAAAAAAAAAAAAAAAAGTTGCCTCACCACTCACATTATTGACAGCTACTTTGCATTTTCATTATTTATATAATTCTTTTTCCATATGGTAATCCATATGTGTATATGGTGGTGGTGGGGTCTAAAATATATCTTTTTCAATAGTATTATGTCTGAGAAAATGAGCCCTGGTGGCAAAATGGTTAAAACACTTGGCTGATAAAAGGTTGAGAAGTTAGAGGCTTAATATGTTGTGGGGTTGTTAACCAATGTCATAAAACAACATGTGTACTACTGTTTCATGAGAAACTATTTGTTCTGTAAGCCTTCACCTGAAGTACAATAAAATATTTAAACAAAAAAAAAAAAAAAATGCTTGGCTGCTAACTGAAAGGTCGATGGTTTGAACCCACCAGCCGCTCTGAAGGAGAAAAGACCTGACGATCTGCTTCCATAAAGAGTACAGCCTAGGAAACCCTGTCATATATAGGTCACTATGAATCAGAATCGACTTGATAGCACACAGCAACAACAATGTATGAGAAAGAAAGGATATTTTGTAGACCAGAATAATTAACCTATATAAATCACCCTTCTGTATTTTCTTGAATAAAGAGATGGAAAACTGGATTGAGAAACTTGGCCTGAGATGTTGCTAATATATACTGTCACTATGATCAGACAGATGTAAAAGCATGGGATGACTGGTCTCCTACTCTGTTGAAAAATATTGGAACTTTTTCAGATTTGACCTGTGATTAAATAATAAAACAATTCAAATCTATCTTGGGAGCTTTTCATAATTGTCTTTTTAAGGCTTTTCACACCCGGTTCCAATGATAAAATAACAACAAAACCAGTTGCTATTGAGTCAGTTGCGACTCATGACGACCCCGTGTTAGAGTAGAACTGTGCTCCATAGGGTTTTCAGTGGCTAGTCTTTTGGAAGTAAATCACCAGGCCTTTCTTCTGAAGGATGTCTGGATGGATTCAAACCACCAACCTTTCGGTTAGTACCCAAGTGCTTAACTGGGCCACCTAAGGACCAGGCTCCAATGATAACAACAACAACAACATGGTATGTAAGATCTAGTCCAACCCCAAGATTCTAATTCTGGCTGGAAAGAAAGCGGGAGAAACCCTAAAGTCAAAATCTACCACTCAGTTCATCTTCTTGATCAGCCTTGCTAGTATTAACTTACCATGAAAGAGAAAAACTAAAATCACCAATAGCCAGTCAAGGTTTATTGAGCTCTCTCTTCATGTGCATACAGACACCCATCTGTGCTCTTGAGAAAAATTAGAGTATACTTGAAGATAGAACAAACATGGAGAAAAATATTAAACTCTCACAAGCCAACATATAAAAATTATACTTTTAACACAAAGTGTAAAAGTTGAAAGAGGGGTTCAATCATGAGAAAATGATAGGACTTGGTTAGAGTTAATCAAGGAAAATGAGAGTTTTACAGATAGCAAACATGTAGAAAGGATTAAGGATTTATTAGATGGGGAGAAGAAGCAGATATAAAGACATTGAGTGAGAACAAAGGCAGCCTGGAGGAAAAGTAGGGTCACATACAACAATAGGTACTTTGAACCGCAGCCACAGCCACAAACCTAAGGACAGCTCAAACTTGTATTTAATGTGCAGAGACCTGAAGGTCACAATCTTGATTTAGTTTCTGATAAGCCCTTAATAGCAGTATAATCTGAGTCATCTATAAATATCAATCTCAATAACCAACATCTAGGTATATATTCATATCTACAGAGATAAATAAAAAAAAAAAAAAAACCCGCTACCGTGGAGTTGATTCCGACTCGTAGCGACCCTGTAGGACAGAGTAGAACTGCCCTATAAGGTTTCCAAGAAGTGGAAGGTGAATTTGAACTGCTGACCTTTTGGTTAGCAACCGAGCTCTTAACCACTGTGTCACCAAGGCTCCACAGAGATATGTAAACATTTAAAAAATTAATTTTGAAGAATATAACTTTTGATAAAATACATTTAGCACAATTTGTTTGTTTTTTTATAATCATTTGTATTGAATCACTAAAGTAAGAAAAGGGACTGAAG